TGGATGTTCAGACCAAGCATAGCATTTGCTAAAACCAACTAGCAGACAACATATAACAAGCTAGAACTGAGGACAAACAAATTCAGAATTCTCAACTGTGCAGCACTGGAGGGACCAACCTCAATTAGGCATGATGGCAAGCTTAAGCAAAGAATGTGCATCAATTGGGATTTAGAAGCAAGCAAACCGTGGTGACACACACACACACCCCTATGCCTCCTCCACACACACACACAAACACACAAGCACATAAACCAATAGATTTCATAAGTGGAGCCTACGACAATCGACAACTCACGGAAGCCTATGCCTGTATATTTACTTACCAGTTGTCACCCCTTTTCACTGGAAAACACAGAAATCAGGAAAAACCAACTGGGACGCAGCCGCATCCACACCAAAACCAACTGATCTTACAGCTCTGCAGGCTTCTCTCTAATCACTACCACCTATAGAGAAACAATAAGACAATTCAGATGTAGCGACAGTTCTTGACAAATTACCAACTAAGGTCAGAGATAGTGTGAACCACACAAATTATTTCAGATCCACACTCATATAAACATGCATTGGGAGTGTTTGCAGATAGCCAAAAATGGTAATACCATTCTGAAGAAATTTAGTTCTCTGCATGTGAATGGAATCTGGCATAACTTAACCCCTTTCCCCTGCTGATTTTAAATTGAACAGATCTGAAGGAATGGGTGCAAAACTCCAACTGCTCCTTATAATAGGTGCTTTAGCAGCTTGACACAGATAAGTCCAGAGCATGACGTATACTAGATTACAACTCGAAAAAAGAAGGCAAACTAACAATAACAAATGAAGGCATAGTCATTGATCTGTGTTCATCAAAACAAATGCAATTAACAAATGATAGGATGAACGTACAACTAGATCGACTGAACCCACATCAGGAAAGGGGATGGGATACATCAACCACCATCAAACTCTAAACCTATGCCCTCCTAGTGCTAGAAGATTGAATCAATCAAACAAATGGATTCCAAATCAGGAAAGGGGATGAGATGCATGATGCAACAGATGAGAAAGAGGAAAGACGGGGGTACAAAGAGGAAGAACAGGAAGCAACCACGCACCATAGGGCATCCCCGGAGCTCCTCGGAGAGATTCAACAGCATCCGTGTCGGTAACGCCTGAACCTCGACCTGAATGAAATCGCCTCTCCCTGCTCCACCGTTGCTGCCCCCACCCACCCACTCACTCTCGGCCCCCCGCGAGCAGCTCCACTCCGGGTCACTGTGGTGCTGAAGTGAAGAACGGGATGCGCCAGCGCCACCATAGTCGGTGCTCCATTTGGCAGGGAGCCGGAGGAGACAGGAGTGGGCAGATCTGGGACTAGGCTCGTCGAGAGAGTGGGAGGGAGAGACAGAGACAGAGACAGAGAGGAGCGGGTGGTTGTTAGGGCGGTGATGTTAGCGGGTGCATTTCGGACCCGATAAGAATAGGCAAACCCAACACACCAGCGCACGGATCCCAGGCTGTGGCGTCGCCTGAGAGGAAGTCCAAAATTTAGTCGACAGAACAATAGGAAAAGTGTTTAAATAAAAATTCCGAGAACTCGTTTCTAAAAAATTTTTTAGACCTAAATCGTGGTGCTAAACAAGCTCGCAACACTAGGGGTGTTACAGCTGTGCGCTTGCGCGTGCAGCCATGTGGGCGGCGGCCGCCGGTAGCTTCCCATGATGGTCGCATGGGCCTGGAGTGGGCTTTAGGTTCCATTAACTGATGGACGGTTGCTATTCATTTGGATGGAAAATCCAACGGTCCAATAAAATGAAAAAAACCTAAAAAAAAGATGACACGCAGGGGACTCAAACCCGGCACGTTCAAAACAACTCTATCCTACATGGACCAACCACCACGTCCCGGTCACGTTCCATTTAAAGGTGGTACGGGTTCCACTAGTTAAAAGGAACAAGTTGAAGCTGCGTACTCCCTATGTCCCATAGTTTTTGAAAGTGTCGTACCACATACCACGTTCCATACGTTTCGGGAACTTGGCTACTAAGTAAGTTTTTAGGTTATTTGAACATAGGTCATCTTCCAAAACTATTTCAACTCAAACCTTCTAAGTTTGACATAATATATACAAAAAGCACCGAGATTTATGACATCAATTAGTAACATTATAGCACCAAGATTTATGACATCAATTAGTAACATTATATAAAGTTTTATAGTGTGCTTGTCTTTTTATTCTAAAAAGGCCAGGTGACGAATTGCAAGGAAACCAAACGGCCTTATAAATGAGATAGCGGATGGTCAGTTGCAGTTTCATACCATAATATGGCCGCCTCTCTGGCTGAAGCTACCAGCCTAGGATTGAATAAGACAAGCAAACTTGGAATTGCTTGATACCTGATGCCGGTGACAGCTGCAGACAAGTAGTACGATAGAGACACTGTTGAAAAAACAAGGCAAGTGAGGGAATATAAGTGAAAGCGCGACAAGGATATATTTTTGCCTTCTCTTGTGTTAACAGCTAACGTTTTCCTTTAGAGAAGAGCTGAATTGTCCGTGGACCCCGGTGAGTCATCTATCTATTAGGGACCGTCGGCATTTAGAAGAATTCAAATCTACTTAATAAATTAGGTTATTTGACTTAAAATTTGACATTCCGTCACTTTTTAAAGTTCACGTATAAGGCCATCTCAAATTCATAAGATGGGAGATAAAAATTAATTCTATACATCATCATTTTATGTTTCTACCTTGCAACTTATAACACGCTCTTCAACTCGCTCCCCTACGGTAAAAAAAACAACACATAAGTACTCCCTCCAGGTCGGTAAAAGAAGTCGTTTTGGACAAGGTTTGGGTAAAATATTGGGAATATAAATCATGAATAACTTTTAAGTTGTTGAATTGGGAAATGTGAAATCCATATGAATAGATTTGTCTTGAAATGTACTTTCATAAAAGTATACATATATCACTTTCCAATAAGTATTTTTATAAAAATAAGAAGTCAAAGTTATGCTTTGGAGACCATGTCGCTGTAAAAATGACTTCTTTTACCAACCTGGAGGGAGTATCTCTCTCGTATAGCCAACAATAGTATATAAATATAATCCATATACAATCATATTAACTTAATTAATATATGTCTAAATTATATTATTAAAATAAATTCAATTCCAAAGATCCAAATAGAGCCATAGTATTCCATCTTTCAAAATTGTAAGTCACTTTGGTAAGTCAAAATTATCTAATGTTGACCAAGTCTTACAACACCAAAATACTCCTAGGTTCTTTCCATGCAATATGTTTTAGAGTGCACTTAAATTGTATTGTAGATGCTAATTGTATATATATTTCTATAAACTTATTTTCACTTACATGGTTAGAACATAGCTAAAATGTACATACAACACCTATATTTATACCTAATAATAATATTAAAGGGCAAATTTTCTCTCCATCCAACTTTTTGTCCGTTGCCTCCCGCTTTTTCATCCGCAAACCTTGCATAGAAAAACAACACTAACTAAAATAATTTAGGTTTGTGTAGCCTCCGCTTCTGCCTCCCGCACGTCTCCTTTCCTCGTGCGAGTCTCTTTGGTAAAAAAAATAATAAAATTTTCATCCTTCCATTTTTTCCGTGCCCATCGAGGCCACTTTTTATCTGCATATATCTTGTGTGTTCCTGCCCGTCTCTTTTAACCTCAGAAATATGCACAATAATTAATTTTTAAACTCATCCTTTATAAATTTTATTAAGGTACCGGTATTAGACCTATCATTTAGAGTCTTAGAATAATTTGATTTAATTAAGTATAAAATGGGTCAATCCTAATTAAATCCAGCCCATGAAATCCCACCGCAACAAGTAATATGAAACATGCGCCTCTGTTGACTTTTTTTTTTAGAAGAATGCGCCTCTGTTGACTGCAACAGTGCAACGTGTGCGAGGCTGCGCCAGTGTAGCCGAGCCTAATCAGGAGGCAGGACCGCAGGAGCCCGAGGAGGCCGGCGTCCGTGCGGTGTGCACGGCACATGGGCTGGAGAACTCACAAATTTGCACTACACATCCCTCGGCCTCCGCCGATGGGCCGGCCGGGCTCTGCGCTGCATTGGCCACTGGAGCTCTAGCGATTCTCTCACGGCCCGATGTGCAAGTTAAGTTGTTCAGTGTTCACGGTTTCAAAAAGACCTTGTTCAGTGTTCACTGAAGTTACACTTTCTATACGTTGAAGAAGCCATCAAGTCGAAATGCAGGTCCCATTTAAGCTTCCGGCTCCAGCTTCACTGACGCAGGGGCACTGTTCAGGCACTGTTCATAGGAGCTTTTTTTCTCTCTCCTCTTTCGTTCTCTCACAGAGCCGGTGAAGAAAAATAAAGCTCTACCGGCTTTATGCGTGTTGAAGAAAGGAGAGTCAAAAAGAGCTCATGTGAACAATACATGCGTTAGAGATGGTGGAGCCAATAAAAACTCTACCAAACAGGGCCACAGTCTCCTGCCCTGCCCCAATTCCCAGGTGGTCAACCCAGGACGTCAGTGAAATCAACTGAACAAAAGGATGCCCACCGAAGCTAGCCACAATAATCGATTGCTACGGGAAATCTTTCTGGATTCTGAAAGTTACATAAATGGAAAATGCACTACACAGTGCGTACACACGTAGTAAACTTTGACGCTTTAATAATTGTTTGGGCTACAATTAAACTGTGATGACAACTTCTAGTCCAAGAAAACCCATCCTGGCAGTTTCTCCAGTAATACTACGCTGATACGTGCTGAAGAGTACCAACCGCAACCGGACCAATTTCTTGCGGCTCCAGATTGATCCGACGCCGTCCGTTACGAAAATCGAACAGCTTGTATTAGGCCTCATTGATTCTCCGAGATTCACCATCATAAAATAAAATCATACTCCTCCTATCTGAGCAAACTGCAAACACGACGAAACCAACCCGGAAGAACCCGGCCGTCAGAGGATCAGCGCGAGGAGGTGATGACGAGGAGCAACAACTACATGGCGCAGGTGGGCGCCGGAGTCGCCGTCGGCAGCTCGATCGGCGGAGCCGTCGGTAACCTCCTCCACTTTTTAATTATATTATATATTTAAAAAAAAACCTTACTCACTAAACCCTACACCTCTATACATCCGTGCTATCTACTCGATCTAGTTCGGTAGTGCCCATGCATCGACGTTTGAAGTATATCAGCGTGCGATGTCAGGGATCTTCTCGAGCTATAACATGTTTAGGAAGTAGTCCTAATCGATGCTCTAGTTGGAGTTTGTTTGCCTAATCGCTTGTGCTTTAAGGGTTGTCACTGGTTTGGTATATATGCCGTGATTTGGTGAATTTGCTTGTTAGGAATTGGGGAATTTGCTGGTGGTTGTTAGGAATTGGGATGAAAAATGTAACATCTACTACCTGCCTTTGCATTGAGTTTTAAGTGAATGACTTCTAGTGTTAAAAGTCGCTCAATGCCACTTTGGAATGTACCGCTTAGTTTGGAGTTTGGTTTAGTTTGTTGATTTGGACTAAATGACAGCGTTTGAGATTGATTTTGTACTTTGCTCGTTGGGATACCAATCTTAAATCTTAACAAAGGATTGGATATGGTCACACAGTATTAGGCTACTGGTCTCTGTCATTCTTACTTGGACAGTCATTGCTTTTGGTTTTTGTTGTATGGCAGAAAAGACGCTCCTTTGGAAAGTCTTAATACTTTTATTGATATACTTTTTTGCTTAGAGGACCAGTATTTCTACGATTGGTAGCTATACATGATTGGCTTCTTTTGCTTCTTCTGTGCAATAACTCGCCTGAAATTCTTGATTGCTTATAGTTCTAGGCTGTAGCTAGTTTTCTCAAAATGCTCTTGTGCCTACCTGCTTCCTAGGATATGAATATCAGGAAAATAAGTGTCATATTTTGTTTTCCTTCTTTCTGCTGCCGTAGGATGCGAGTACCAAGTTAATAATTGGCATAATGTTTATTTCTACGCAGGTGCTTGCTATGGAACTTTTGAGGCATTCAGACACAAGGTATGCATACACGCTGTTTGCTTTTTCTTATATTCAAAACTGCTTTCGTGGTAGTGCTCTATTTGATATTTGATTCCCCGTTTCAGTATTTGCTTTCGTAGAGTTCTGGATGAACATCATTCATAAATTATTACATATTGATGCATCGAAACAGAAGGAAGCAAATAATTTGATTGTCCTGTTCAGTGTTCAGTCATTCAAGATGCAAAGGATTTATCGGCTACTGAGCATAACACTACTTACCATGATGCCACTGATGTTTTTTTTTCCATTAAGACAGTCTTCATTGTCCATTTAACTAAACTTAGTGGAGACTTGATTTATTATCAAACCCATGGCACAATGTAGCTTTGTTACTTTAACTAACAGGACAAAAACATATCTGAAATAAAATTTAGATTTTTTTTTTTTTGCGATGAGTGCTAATCAGTCTTATTCTGTTCCACAGATCCCTGGGTTGCTAAAGATCAGATACATTGGACGAGCCACTGTCAGCACTGCTGCCGTTTTCGGGCTTTTCATGGGAGCTGGTAGCTTGATTCACTCTGGGAGATCCTATTAGTCTGTGTCGTCCGTTTCTGAACACGACTCGGTCGATGGGCTTCAGAAGAGGATTCTAGTTTTTGTGAGCACTGCCCTGTGTGGCCTCAGAGGACCGTCTGTGAAACCATTTATTCGATGTTTATGTACAGGCTCAGGGTTGGAGAGAAACAGTCTATTATTTGATATGCGTGCTGGTCCTAGTTTTTGCGTGGAAATAAAACAAAATCCATCTTACTGTCTTTCTCGCTGGATGAACCAAAAGCAGCTCAAAACGTCATATACGATAAATGAATACACCATTTTCAATCCAATAAACTCCAGTGGATGGTCAGCAAAGTGTAAGAGCCCATACGAACCCCATGTTAGCAGTCAATGTGGGAGCGCGCCAATGGTCACATGTACCCAAAGCACTTCTGTTCTGCAGGCCCCAAAAAGCATTGGCAAGTATTCTGTAAGATACTGATTGTGTGGTTGGGGTGAAAAAACGAATTCAAGGCCATTAGTAAGCAGTAAGCACCAAAAACACCGGGTATGATAAATTGTGATGAACCAAAAATAAAATACTACAGTTCCTAGTCTAGCATGGGTCCACTACCTTTGTGATATAATCCCTATTCTGTATGAACAGGAAAATGTTAGTGAGTTGAATTGGAGAACATTTTTTTTTGAGAAACGAGAACAAAATATTTGTGCAGATGAAGAGGGCAGGGGAAACCAGCTAGTTTTTTTTTAGAAAACCGGGTTGCATTTTATTGATTCATATAAAATATTACACATACATCCTTACAAAGACACCCCTGAATAAAACAAAAATTACATCCTGGTCCTTGCAAAGATCTCCCGGTCATCTTCGTCGCCAGAGAACGGAGCCACCACTCGACGTAGAAACGAACGCCGAGCTTGCAGCTTGAAGCCGAATCCCACCTCAACAAAGAAGCTTCCAAAGAAGCAACATACGGTTTTGAAGCTACATCAATCGGCACATAACAAGATGTGCACCTTAAACGCTGAACACCCGAGCAAATGATGGCCAGCGGCCGTATCCTCGCCAAGAGTATGGGATCGGACGCCACAAGCACCGCCGGTGACCCCGAAACACCCAGCGACAAAGCAACCCTAGGGAAAGCAACCAACCTGATTTCTCGAGCAGGGAAAAAACAAATCCCACAGAACCATCTCCGGAGAAGGCTTCGACACCTCCACTGTCGCCGGAAACCTCCTGTAGGGACAAAAGAACCGGACGGCAATAGAAAGCCACCGGGACCAACACCACGTCCCTCATCTTGTCCGTACGAGGAACCACACCGGAGGTCGTCAGAGACCAAGCCGAAGCCGCCGCTGAAGAAGGGTACGGGGTAAATCTACCTAGATATAAGCTAATAAGGGAGAGTATGTACACCGGCCATCGATCCCCCGACTCCACTCCACCTCCGGCGTCGGAGCGGCCACCTGAGGCGAGGAGGAACCGGGGAAATCAACGCCGGGATCCAAATCGCCTCGCTTTCGCCTGTGGCAGAGGGGAAAGAAAGGTCGAGAAGCAGCGAGACGGGAAACCAGCTAGCTAGAGGTTCATGGGTCGGAACGGGCCGGCTTTGTGAAGCAACCGAACGAACAAGTGGGCTGAAAAGCGTGAAGCAAGGAACGGCCCATGTGATTCGTTATGCTGATGTATAAAAAGGGCCCGAAATATAGCCGTTGGGCTCGTGTTGGGGAACGTTTGCTTTGCTTCACCTTTTTTTGAAGCGCACAGTTCTTTCTTTATTTCCGCTTCGCATTCCCCCCTCCCTCTCCCTTCCGCAACAGCGCATGCTCGCCGCTGCCGGCCGACTCCTGCCGTGAAATCCTGCGTCTGAAGCGCCCATTCTCGGACCTCCTCCGGATCTGAGACGCCGAGCGCACCACGAGCTCTAGCGCGCTGTGGGTAAACTTTGAAGATCTGGTCTTCTGTTTACTTGTGCTTTAGGAATTTTATTACGATGCTTTCCTTTCTTCTGCCACTCTCCCATGTGCCCTCCGGTGGAGTGTTCGTTTCGCCTCTGCATTCGCAAGGTGTTGGTTCGAGTTGCGGTGGTTTGTGTGGTCAGCTGTTGTGTTGTGCTATGTGGTGGCCTGGTGGGTTAATGTCTAGGGTTTGGCGTAATTTGTGTGCAGTTCACTCAATTTTTTTAGTTACTACGCTAGTTGTTTCCACCCGATTTCTGTATTAACTTTTACGGAGTGATAGCTAGAATTTCACATTATTTTAGCGAACTCCATATTAGACTGTAGGTATCTCTGTTCACCGTTTTATTTTTTTGAGGCTCCCATCGAATTTTACATACCTCACATTCTTGCCACCAAATTCTGGTGGATGTAAAACCCCTTGATTTTTCTTGCACGGATTGGTCCTAATTCATGTATATTTCCACGAGTAGAGAATTTGTGATTTTTTTGGTAAATAGTTTTTATTGGAGTGATTGTGATTAGATGGTTGTGAAATACCTTGGTGGTGTTACTAGAGGATAGAGGTATGAGACCGTATGACTGTGAGTCTATGACCATAGAAGTTGATGTTTGCTAAGTTCACCCATGTACTTCTATGAATGTTGGATTTGTGTTTGATTTAGTTCATAGCATATTACTTATAATCCCATTATTGTAGTGTAGGGACCTGAAAATGAGTGAGGGGGATGCTACTCAGCTTGACCTTGAGAAAAGATTACCGCAAATGTCTAATGATGATGATTCGAGTAGCCCTGCAACTATGCACAAGATGAAAGTTGACACAGAAGATGCTGGAAGCAAAATTGAATCACCCACTCCAGAGAAGCTTGAATCTAGAAGCAAAGGGGTTGTTGTGAGTTCGCTGGCAAGGAATTTACTTGCAGAGAGGTACAAAGACAGATTTGCAAATCAGTTCGTGGAAGATGAGGGTGACACAGATGATGAAGACTATAATGACAGTATTTCGCCTGGTGTGAGCTGGTCTCATATTTCAAGAAGCATTGAACTTCTTCAGAAGTGAGCCGCTTTTAATTTCATCTCAATATCTCATGCATATGTGTGCTTCCTAGCCATGATTATTCACCTTGTCATTCTTGTTCACAATGGCAGACACAAGGATTTACTGAATCGTTTTAATAGAATGGAGAGTTCTATAAGGTTGCTACGCCTGCGGAAGAGGATGGCTACATTTAATAATATTGCCACCCAGGTGGAAATACTCACAAAAAGGTAATAACTAAAACAAAAGTATATGTGTAGAATATTTTTTATTCGTTTGTTTGTTACAGTTGGGTGATAACCTTTCTGCATTGCAGGAAGTTATCGTACAGTCATTTGGCCCAAATGAAGCATTTGTTTCCAGAAGCAATCCAGATTAAGAGGATACTTCTACATGATGAGAAAAGCCTATGCATGTATGCTGATATGGAATGGCAATTTACGAGGCTTTTTACTCAAAGCTTTTGAGATTTTTGGATACTCATCATAAGGTACTAAACTTAATTTAAATTGGCCCTCCTTAGGTAGTTGTTCATTAGTAGATCTTCACTGTTTATTATTTCCCCTAGTTTGCTTGGAGCACTTCAACTGAAGTAGGCCTTCAGCATGTCTTTTTTTAGGAGGTGACTCATGCACTTTCGATTTTATTAGTCTCTGCTAGGCCAGGATAATTCACTCAGCATTCTAGTCGGAATTGTTATTTATGCAGGGCACAGACATTCCGGAGGCAATCTTACCAGAACCCTTTAACTCGAGGTCCAGGGGCCAGTTATATCTTGAGGCATCACAGAATGGGCATGCTGCTGAGCCACATCTGCAGGGCACAACTGAGGATGGATTCTCAAATGCTTCCCACTTTCCACAATCTTTTCAAAGGCTAATGTCCCAGAAAGTCATTACTGATGGAGCTGAAAAGACTCAATTGCTACCTGATCCAACAAAACTGAGCTCTGTGAGTGCTTATGATACAGAAGGAACAAACAGAAGCCCTAAAAAGCAAGACAAACATGCTTCAGTTACAGTGAACTCTGAAATTTCTGTTACTCCAAGTCGTCATTCGATCTCTTGTTGTCAAAAGGGTACGCCAAAACAAGAGACCTCAGAGTCACCATTGTTGGCTCAAACAACAGCAATGCAGGGTTGGGCCCTCGGCTGTCCTGCACAGGTAAGCAGTAAGCTTACCAGCTCACTCACTCACTATGGCTAGAGATAGGAAAAGATATTAAGAACAGCTCACATACATACAACGCTGGTGAAAGCTCTGCTTCTGGATGTGGCAAACTGAACCGCCTTTACTGAGTTGCAGTGGGAAGCTATATATACAACTCTACTCATCTTATCCTAGTACACAGGCATGCTAGGTTGCCATGCTGCTACAGTGACTAGATGTGACAGCAGAACTGACTTTGGCGTCTGCCCCTGCTGCGGCTACAGTGCGGCATGGGAGCCTTTCGGTTCCTGCTCCTGCCGCGGCTACAGTGCAGCAGTAGGGGAGCCCTTTCGGCACCTGCCCCTGCAGCGCGTACAGAGGGAGAGTAGCAGATTACTTTACATGCAGACACCCAAAAGGCCATTGCCAACTTCACTTGAGAAACTCGAGGCCACATGTGTGGACACATTTCTGAATCACGTTCAGCTAGTTCTACCCGTAGATCACTAAATACATCTTTAAAATTTGAAGGAGGAAGCCCTTCTTATCATGATAGAATGGAACATGAGGCTACATCTAAAATGGGAATTTTCTCAGAAGACTCATCTAGTTTCAACAAGTCATTAGAGGTATCTTGATTTCCATCCATCACATAGAATTGTATTTATGTTTTTGTGTATGGATCAGCACATAATTACATGCTACAAGATCAGAGATGCCATAGTCAATAACATAAACTAGAAACAAATGCTTGTGCCTGGATTGCTGTGAAAAACCTAGCACGCAACACGGCAACAGAATAACTGTGGATAGCTATTTCTGCATTTAATTGTGCAATTAAGGGAACATGAATACACAACGGTTCAATAATACCTAGAATGTTAGCAGTGCAGTTGTTCATGCTGTAGAAACAAGCCAGCCATCGGACTACTAATAATCCACAATATCTTATTCTTACATAACTTGAAATTTTATGCGCTAAGGCACAGTCGTACCAGGATGACAGTTTCTCTTTTTGCCTGTAGAAATTCACTATAGAAAAAAAGTACTCTTAATTTTCTAGGTATGGCATGGTGTATGACTAATAGATTTCTTGCTTCCTGCCCTTTTTTTCTTTTATTGTAAAAGTTGGAAGACTTGAACAATTCTACAATGTTCATTTGTCTATCGGTTATTTCCTGACCATATGACCTTTTTCCTTGAAGGAGAATGATCATGTCTTCTTTAGTGATAAAGACAAAATCAATCTGGCAGACCCAGTGGGTACCCAGGAAAAGATGGCTTCATTACGTTCCACATTTGACATTGGCTGCTTCGTTCGTTCGTGAACTGCCTATCAATTACCAGCCTAGTACTAGTTAAGGATGAAAACGGTCGAACTCGGTCGAAAAACTTCTCAACCGTTTTCTACTTTTACATTTGAAATACGAAAGCGAAAGCGAAAGCGGACAAGCCAGACACGAAAACGAACACAAACTTACGGAATATCTAGAATTTCGGAAACGGACCAATTCGAACGGAATTATGTCGAACACAGTCGGTATGCGAAAATTCAATACGAAATACCGACCCACAGTGCATAGCAGTAAACAAGTGCACGACCAAATACATAACAAGTTCACAACTAACAAGTGCATGATTTAGTTCAAATGCATAGCTTTAAACAAGTGCACGACCAAATACATAATAAGAGAGATGAGGCTGGGCGCCGTCTATAAGAGAGGGCAGCTAGCCACCAGTAGAAAGAACGCAGCTGTGTGGTGAGCAGCCTGTAATTGGGCTGTATGATCTGTGCAGTTGGCCAAATTCGGTTTAAACCGAATTTTGAATTCGGAATATTTCAAATTAAAAGTAGAAAAGTAGAAAGCGGTCGAAAAATGTGTAAACCGTTTTCTACTTTTACATTTGAAATACGAAACATCTCAAATGCGAAAACGAAAACGGCAAAGTCGGACAAGAAAATGCGGATTCGATCAGATTAAATATAGAAAACAATGCGGTTCGGTTCGGGATATTTCCGTTCCGTTTTCATCCTTAGTACCAGTACAGCAGTACAGGTAATTAGGCCTGACCGATCCTTGCCAATCGTTCCAACTTCCAAGCATGAAACCGTCCAAAGACAAAATTTGAACTGCTTACTGGACTACTCCCTCTGTCTCAAAAAATGAGTCATTTTTGCTTCCTAAAAAGTTGGCAACTTTTAACTTTAACCAAATATATTTAATAAAATATTAATATTTATAGTATATAATTAGTATCATTAGGTAGATCGTTGAATATACTTTCATAATAAACTTATTTGGAGATATAAATGTTGCACATATTTTCTATAAAACTAGTCAAAGTTGAGAAAGTTTGAGCAGCACGATTCACATAGCGACTCTATTTTTGAGACGGATGAAGTAGTGATCAGTGATTGATGTGATGCATTATAGCCACGGTGGAGGAAGCATTCTTGGCTTCTGTTCTTTGTTTTCTAAGCAAAGTCAAAACTAGAACTATTTACTAAATTTGATATGATTGCTTCATTCAAGACCCTTAATTTTTATGTATTTGTAATTATAGAATGATTATGTTCTTCCTATTATATGATTTTGAAAACTTGATATGTTTAGTCAATTCAAGACCTTATAACTTTGTGTATTTACAATTCATAGAAAATCTTCTTTCTCACATCTATTTTTTTGCTCTAATTTTCTTTCCCTTTCTCTTTTCCTAAATGGAATGCATGAAAGGAACTAGGATTCCAGTAAAATTCTTCTCTCCCACACCTCAATTTTAGTTACTATCAATTTAATAATACTACTAATATTATACTGTATTTGTACTAAAGTTACAGTGATTATTTTGATGCAACTTCTGAGTAAAGTTGGTGTAACTAATGATTCGTGCGAAAATCTTTGCCCTATGCCTATCTTGGTTTCTAATTTGTGTGGCGGAGGCCTTAAAATCATACGATTTGTTCCTACTTTTGAATCCATGCGATTTTGGTCACCAAATCACACGAGTGACCAAACTCCTCAAAATTACCTAAGTTGTGTATAGATGGACTAAATTTTATATGACGCACAGGTTGGCTCCGCTAAAAACAGAATACACAAATTGTAAATATTAAAATTCGACACTCACATTTCATAAAAGAAGCAGAGGAAAAAATATACTATACGTAATGTAAACTTCAGTGTAGTTACACATGGATGGTAAAGTACAATAAGAAAATTCAACCACACAAACCTTTCAAGGAAAAAGAGACTTGCTAAAAGTTTCCTTTCAGGCGACGGTTATCGTATATTTTCATACTAAAATTATAGTTTTAGTTAGTTGCAATTTATGTAAACGTAATCTGTAGTTTTTGGTTTTGAGAATAAAATACTTGTTAGACAAAACCCTAATCCGATAAAATCTGATTTGTGTTGGCACAAAGATAATTAACAATTATTTCTATAGTTAGACAAGGACAAAAAATTGATATTTTAATAATATTATGATACAGAGACAAATAACAAATCACAAAAGTAACAATTTATTTGTGCTAGTTGGTTTACAAGAGTATTGCCTAAAATTATCTTAAAATTTAGGCACATGAAATATAAGAGAAGTGAGAAAAAACTATACGTAGTGTAAATTTAATGTTACACATGGATCTTAAAGTAAAATAAGAAAATTCAACCACAGACCTTTCATGGAAAAAATGAGGCTACATAAGAATGGGGGTTGGTCGACAACTGGTGACCGAGAAGCTAGTACGACTGCCATCTCCCAGAATCCCAGTGTGCCAAATAAACAAAAACAATGGCGGCAGCGAGCTCTCGCAAGTTTTCCTTCATGTCCATTGGTCTTTTCTCTCTGCTGCTCCTGATCCATGCACCTCGTTCTAGCTCACTGTCCTTTAGCTTCAACTTCTCTAATTCCGGTGACCCATGCGATGCGGAGCTAAGGTGCGAGCATGACAGCCGCAAGAACCATCACCGAATGCATACGGGAGTGGTTTATCTGTCTTAAGTCAAGTGTCATATTGAAAAGTTTCTCTCGATGCATACGGGAGTGGTTTAGCTGTCTATTTCCTCGTAATAACTTCCTGTGTTGATTGGCGGTGACCCATTCAACTCTCAAATTGAAGAAAATGTTTGAAATTTTCTGATTCTTTGAAACATTCAACAAAGATCATCAATGGCCAACGAGTTGTTGGAGCTGGGGGTGGGGTACTGTACTGCTTTACTCCAAAATATAGAAAATGAGAAGTCTTTGTGTCGGGGACCAATACTAGGGTACCCGAAGAGGAGCTAATGGTCATCAATTTTGATTCATCCGAGCAGCCAAGAGCGCGACTACAGCTCTAACCGACCCCAGGTGCGCGGGCTCCGCCTCGCCCGACCTCTAGGTCGGGGGCCTTGGCTTGCCCGACCTCTGGGTCGGGGGCTCCGCCTTGCCCGGCCTTTGGGTTGGGGCTCCGTCTCGCCCGAACCCTCAGGTGCAGCTCCTGACAGAAGCCCGTACCGCCGCCAACCACTACGGGCCACAAAGTACAACCCAAGGTCAAACTTCTGGCATCGTGCAGGGAGCGGGCACATCTCAACATGACATGTGCCCACGACATGTCATTCCAGAGAACTCACATCACCAACAATGACAGACGCGTGGTCACTATGCTGTCTACTCCCTGTACGGCCGCTGACCAGCACGCTGGTTCGCCGCATCGCCCGCCGGGACGGAATGGGACGTCACGACCCG